TGATGAGGGGTACAAACTCTGACACCACATTGTGAATGTTCAGCTTATATAGCTGAGGGCACAGAACAAGGATACAATCTCAGTTAATGAGAAACTAACCACATTTTAATACACACGCATTGCAACTGAAGTGATTCATTCCAAAACTCCATGCTTTATGTATTTTTAAGGTAAAATATGCTGAAACTTCCATAACTCCAATTATCTAGAAATGCACAAGTTAATTCAATTAGCAGTGTAAAAATATTTGAAATAAATGGCAGCTTAAATCCCTTTATAAGGAAGCATATTTTACCCTAAACATCGTAATTGACTGTCATTTTTATGTTTTTCCTTTGCATTTGAATCTAATTTTTTAGACAAAACGCAGATAACACATTTTGTAATAGCTAATTTCACTTATTCATTTTACCTGTTGAAGGAATTATTAATTAACCAAAGGTTACTGTGTGGGATATGTTTAAAGAAGTTCAGGAGAATGTCACTGACCTGATACATCAGCACCACTATGATAGGCAGCTCTGCAAGCACTTTAAGAGACAAGGATCCTCGTGGGATGATGGTGTGCTAGAGGCAGAAACAAAATGAGAAACATAATGAGGATGAATGGAATGACTGGATGATTTAAATGTCCGACACTTGCCACACCCATCTATAGCTAAAACCATATCAAATAAAATGATTCTGATGGACCACTTCCTCAGTAAACAAAAGGCAGACAAAGTCATGTTTAGAGAAGTGGTTGCTGGATTGAATCCTTGGCAATTATTGTACATTTACCATTACAAAATATGACACTTGTAAGTTTTTTTGGTAGTTATATATTCTTAGCAAAATAAAGGACAAAATTAATTTTAAAAAGGACCAGTGTGTAGGATTTAGTGGCATCTAGCCGTATAGTTGCAGATTGCAACTCCCTCGAATTACCTTACCCTGGCAACCGCGAAGGAGAAACTATGGTGGCCACAAAACATGAATATATGGAGTGCCTTTTTTTGATGTGTCCCTTCTGAGCTAGAAATATGATAGTTGGTGCAATCCATAGACAGTCATAGTGTGTAGATATAAAAGGCTCCTTCTAAGGTAGCAAAAACATAACTATTCCTATGATGAGGTAATTATACACTAATGAAAACCTTCACTTAAAATATTATATTCCATACGTGCCAATAGATCCTCCTACATGTTACACACTTGAACCTTTAAGGAAAATACTAGTCAAGAAACTGTCAATCAATAAAGTTCATCAGTGAGACAAATTAAATGCAGCATCATGTTTCACTGACAAAAGCGCACGTGTTGTACAACTTTTAATTTTGAAAAATGTATGCCTAAAACAGTGTATGGAACATTTTATTTATTTTCTATTTGAGGGTAAGTAAGAGAGCAGTTTTGTGGTCTCTCCTGATCGTGTGCCAACACAGTGGACTACTACCATCCAGTGGTTAAAGACAGTACTGTAAAAGTATGCTGTATAGAGATTACACAGTGAAGATATAAACTCCTACAAACTGTTGGTTAGCTTACTGTTCGTGTTTCGCTGTCTTCCCTCTCAGGTGCAGTCTTAACCAACACCGATGTGATCATCCCGACCATTTCTGGGGAGGGAACTGTGTTCTCTGCTATCACCTGTGGGTTCTCAAAGTACCTGGCCTAGTCGGAGCAGAGAGAGACAATGGTTAGAGGAAACACAGACACGGGAAGAAAGGCAGAGATGAGATATAGCAAGTTACTCCATGCTATCATCATCAAAAACTCAGGAAAGAACCAAATACTTGTTCACTGAAAACAAAGCCACCTGCTGCTCAGGGTGTACTTACAACAACTTTCGGAAGGTCTTTGTAAATCTGCTTCACAAAGTCCAGAAAGTGATGAATCTGAGAAGAGAGGAGTATGAAAATGAAAATGTTGATCCAAAACTTCAAGAATATGTTCCCTTTCTTTTTCATAAATAACAAGAGGAGTTTTTTCTTCAATATCTTAATTCAGTTTCGCCTGTTTGAGCCAAGGAGAAAAAAAGCCTGTCCTCATAAGTATTACCTGTGTAGTGGCCAACAAACAATGTTAACAATGTTACTATAGGGGATTAGGTATTTGTCATTAGTTATGACTATTTAATGATAATCACATCTCTGGCATCACAGTAATATTAACAAATGTGGTCTTTGATAAAAAGTCTGCATTCATCAGTACAGGTACAAAAATACATGGAAATACATTTTTCAATCCAATCCACAATTAGTCAACTAAGAATTTCTCACAGCGAGGACAGACCTATCAATATTTTCACATTCTTTTACAGCTTAAAATTTATTTCGAGGCAATAAGGCTGAGCTTCTCACCTCCTGAGAGATTGGAGGCCGGAACTGTTTGTGCAGCTCTATAATGATGCGAAGGCATATCAGCACATTTTCCTCACTTTCAATCTGTGAAAAAAGCAAGAAAACATCAATGTGAAATGACACACACAATAGCGCATGTATATATGGAATAACTGCAACAATTTTTTTTAATTTACTATATATTTGCCCACTACCCACAATGAGTTGTGAATTCCAAACTTCAACAATTACTGTTTACCATCCAATATATCTATGCCACAGCAATGAACCCAACCAAATTTCTTAAATTGGTGTTAATGTTAATCCAAAACTAATACCACTGCAGGAAAAAAATTGCAGCATTTGGGAGGTGGTTAATATTATTATTACTAAGCTTTAGAATCTTCTAGAAAAAAACCAAATCAACTAATAGCAGCTCATTACTCACAATAGAGTTTTAGAGTAACTCAAGGATGCAAAATAACAAAAACAATAAAATGTTCTGTTTCTAAGAGATTAGGACTCATACCTCTAGGAAGCGGAACATCACAGACAGGATGTTCTTTGTGTGTGGACGAAGGTGTTCATTTGTTGGGATGCGGTGGATGATTTCCAGCACCAGCTTCCTCAATTGCTGAAAGAATTGACCACATTTTGCAGCTCAGAATCCAGCTTCACGTACAATTACACCATTTGATATGATATAGTAATTTTCACTCATTTCAGTGGATGTGGGATGAAGTTCAATGACTGAATTACCGAAATCACTTTCAATAACACCAATTCAAAGACAAAGTGGGTGGATAGCAAGCAGGTCAGCTGGTTTATGAATGTTGGACCAGTCACTGGATTTCTGTTTGTACAGTTGATGAATATAGAAAGAAGCCCAAACCCTTGTTTTTAGCCACACACCTGCGTAGGTTTTTCTTGAAGGAACTGCACCTCTCCATCCTGAAGAAACGTGAGGAAGCGGGGGATGATGTGTTCCAAGAAGGTGGAGTACTGAGGCGAAGATGTAACATTCTGAAATTGACAATCCCGAGACATTTTCAGTCATGCACAAATTCGGCATATCCTGCAGTCATGTTTCAGTTCTTTTTTATAACGTTTTTTCTTTCTTGCTGCAGGCTTTTTTCACAGCATCCAAAACATACCACATTTTTCCCAGGCTCAGTTAAAACTCAAGAAATCCTTAGACAATTGCACTTTTGGGGTATCTATAAAACTTCTTAAAATCTATTATAACCAGAAGAGACAAAGAAAATGAATCACCCGCTGAGAGCATTCATCAAACCTACCTCAAAGTTCTCGCTGACCTCCTGCATCATCTTCAGCTTAGTTTCATCAGCTGGAAGTTGAAGGACAGAACGTTGCCATTAATCAAAATTGCTAATGATACAGCTCAACTTTTCATGGCCATCTCCATGTGCTCAGCAGGGACTCTCAGATCTTATCAGTTTTACTTTCAGCGTCCAGATTGATCAAAAGGTACATCAAGAAACACACTCACACTTAAACACACATACAATGACAAGCACTCTCCCAGACACACGTACCTTTGACTGGACTAAAGCATATCGCTCTCATCACATTGCCCATGCTAAGCACAAGTGCCCAATCTAAACCACTCTTTATTTTGCTAACACTAAGTGAGTTGCATCTACACCAATCCATAATGCATCTAATTAACTGCAGCTCCAGAGGACACCAGCCCAAAAGTCTGCAGATGGGAAGCTAAAATAACATGATGAAATGAAAAACCTCTGACTCTAAACCATTTACTGACTACCAATAACAAATCATTTAAGTAAATCTGCTTTAATGCTATAAAATTAAATGCAGATCATTTCTGAAACTGCATAACTTCTGCCTAGATTACTCATCCCACTTTGAGGGATACAAACTTACGTGTGTTGGTGTCTGTGAGTGCTGCCACAAACTGCAGGTACTTCTTCATAAGTGTAGTCTGGTCGACTACAGTGGGACTGGGCGCAGGGACAAAGGCCATTGTGGCACCTGGGATAGACAGGGCTGCTGTGGGGAAAGGGGGCAGACCGCAGTCTGCACAGAGCTCAGTGTGCTCTCATCTACTCTGCAGAAACGAGAGGGAAAAAAGAGATCCGCTGTCATCAGTTTAAATGAGGAAATTAGATATTATATAGGTTATAGTTGTTGAACATGTATGACAACGAGCGTCGGTAGGGAGAAATTACAACATTTGACAAACAAACCGGTAACACATACAAACATGCCTCTTGAAAGGCGCACGGTGATGACATCATTAGAAGCATCAGCTAGCACAATTTTTGTACACTTCGACAGTATTTGTGAATTAAAAACAGGGTTTTTGGGGTCAAATTCGGAACCGTTCTATTATTAAGAGGCCTTGTACGCGTATTCATGCGCGCAACAAATCTACAAAAGGCACATATACTATTAATTTTCCAGAACACGTTAGCAACCGTTAGCTAACAAGCTAGCTTTCCCAAAGAAAGAAAGCGCTCGCGCATCCCCTGGCGTTAAACTCTGTTTAAGAGAAAATAAACACAAGCCACAAAGAGAAAGCACCTTTTCTCAAACAAGAACCTGTTCAAAAGCTACTCATATACAATATGCTGCCCTACTATTTCTCCCCATTTTAAAAAAAGCGAACCATTTGCGCTTACCCAGCTCGAGACAGGAAACCGTCGCTCTGTATCCGCCGCGCCGCGCTCGCGCTGCTGCTCCGGGCTTGAGAGCAGTAAAGACGTGTGATATCCCTCCGCGTATTACAGGTAATATTCTTCCTATGAATGTATAAATACAGTGTCATAATGTTTGTGTGACATAAATATATGCAGAGATGTAATACAATCGATGTTCAATTCGATAAAGAATGTTTTATTGGTCATAACCTTTGATTGTAGTACCAGCGGAACAATACACAGTGAAGACCAGTGGATATAAGACCATCGTTTTCGATGGTCTTCAGGCTCCCAGGATTGTCAGGAGGAAGTCAATTTGCGGGTATCTGCGCATGCTGGTTGGAGGTAGTATAGTACATCGATAGGTAGTACCCTTTGGGAAACAAGTGCTGTGTCTAAGTGCAATACGATGTGTAAAGCATTTCAACATATATTGCATTATTGTGCTAACTATACATTTATTGTTTCTTATATTATAAACTAAACTAACATGGATTTGCTGGTGGAACTTGGCCTTGCTAACTTTGCCATGCATATGTACTTGTATAGGCTTTGCTTTCAGTTCTATTATCATTTTGGTTAAGTTTACGGGTCGCCTATAAGTTCTAACTAATGCCTTTATTAAGAGTTAATAAAACATTTACTAATGGTTTATAGATCAGCTATAAATTGATAGAACGTTTTGGGTTGCCAGGTTGTGAAAAATCACCTTTGCTGTTGTCTCTTTTTTATGATCAATTCTGCAGGGGCTGTTGATAAAATAATAAATGCACAAATAAGTCAACAGTTTTTGTAATTTGTAAGTAACTGCAAATGTTTACAAATGATGTTTGTTTGTAAAGTAATTGGATCAAGATGCTCTGCAGTCCTTTTACAGAAGGTCAGAGCAACAGCAAGTGTAATGCTGGAGGAGGAATACCACCAGTCAGAGGGATATTTCACAACATGGCAACCTAAGCTATAATATTAATTATTAATTAATATTAATGGATAATAACTGATGTTTGAAGAATTATAATGGATCGGCCATGATATTGAAAAACACTGGAATAGGTTTCAGTTAATGTATTCATTGTTTTAATTCATTTCTTCATACAGTGTAATTAGCGTGGATTGGTTTTACCACAAGATGGCAACCCACTGAAGGAGACAGTAGGTCTGAAAAGTAAAACAAACATAATGCCAACCCTTTATGAATGATAAAACAATGTAATGAAGTTGGCATGAAGTGTTGCAAACATGGCACTTGACATCATTTTCTTATCTGATGTCTGGTATGAATCTGTGTTTTTTTTAGAGGGTTGAAACACAGGAAATGGGTCTCCGATCTTTATCTTTTGAGCTTATTATTTTCAGACTTTCAGACATTAGACTGGGGCAGTGCTAGAGAATGACACATTAGTAGGCCTACAGGTGAGTCAGGAGTCTGGAGTATAGGGAGTAAATCATTTTGTAGGGATAAGGCTGGTCAAATATGATTTAATATTTGACTGCGTTTTATTGTTTTGTATTTGTAATTTGTTCTTTCATTAGTGTTAAGAGATTTTTGAGAGAATGGGTGCCAAAAAATGATGGTTTTTATTGGCTTATGGCTTTCATTCATCCCCTAGACTCTTCTTCTTTCTTGCATTAAGTCGCCCAGTCACATAGGCAAATCATTATCTAGAATCAATAGTATATCCTTCCATGCTCATTTTAAAGATTGCTCCCAAGTTTCATTGTCACCATATTATGTCGTATGTGTATGGCAGCAAAGCTTGAGATTTCCTTTCATAATGCTTGTTTTAATAGCTTTGGAAATAATGAAATCTGGTTGAAAGATGCTCATTATTTATCCTGCCTGATCTATCAAACCTGTCTTCTGCCCACTTGCTTTGCTAATGGGTTTTAATTCATATTTCTCTCCTTCACAGCCTCCTCCTTCCATAGAGTGAACCCACTGGCAAAAGACTGTAGAATGAGATATTCCTTTCAGTGAATGTCGTATATAATCTAAAAGGTAATTTGACATACAATGTGGCATTCTCATTCTCTCTCTGGCTCCATTCCCTAAGTAATAATGATCTGCTAAAAGATGTTTGTCTCAGGCTTATTGCACTGTCCTGTTCGTTTCATTAGTGGGTTTTTTTTCTTTCCTGACGGGGGCTTTATCCTGAGAGGGGAGAGTGGATGACACACTGGTTCTCCAGCTTTCCAAAACCACTCATCTGTCCATTAAATTTGTGTTTTCACAGTGCACTGCTGCAGCTGCTGATGCCCTTATGATGAAGCTGAATCACCCCGGCATTATTTCTCATATAGAAAGAAGTGCACTCTCCTTGAGACTGAGCCTGGATCATCAACAATACCCTGAAAATCTATTCATGCATCTAAAGCTCTGATGCACATTCACTCTTTTTACCCATCTGCAAAATGAGAGTCTCTGTGGACCGGGCAGATAAAATGTGTGTAAAAGACTCAGAGCCAGGCAGTCCTTTGGCTTTGTGAATATGGTTGTTATTGGAAATATTAGTTTCATGAGGGTTGTCCCGAATGTTTTTTTTATTTTCCTAAGCAGCTGGAGTCTACGTGGAAACTGGCTGGAGACCTTTTGTCTCTCTATAACCAGAAAATGTGCTGACAGAGTAAAATATTCGTGTTTAACCGAAGGAGGCGGAGTCAGTCAGCAATGATGGTAATTGGTTTGCACAAGCTTTGCACCTTTGAAGGTGTTGATGGTCACTCACTTCTGCCAGATCCTGCTCCTGTCACTTTCTTTTCGTTTCTTTCTTTCTTTCTTTCTTTCTTTCTACCTACATCATCCAAAATCTCTGCTGTGAGTCCCCATTTAGAGTGTGGATAGTTGTGTTACATGGGGATTAGGGACAAGCCCTTTTCTTAGCATTACCTAAGTACACTTTTGACTTAGGATACTTGTACTTAATATTTCCATTTCATGCTACATCCTACCACATTTAAGAGGAAAACGTTATACTTTTTATTCCATTAGAGATGTATTTGCCAGCCACAGTGATTACTTACTTCCAAGTTAAGGTTTTACATAATGGTTCCATCATTTCTTGGCATGTTTTAGATGTCTGAGTTGTTAAGAGTTCCACTAAAGAGATCTTTCCTTTTAAAATTCTCTGGTGGTTTCAAAACATTGTTCAGGGCCCAAAGATTTGAAATTATCAAATTATCAAATTTTTCAATGCATCATTACTATCTGATAATGTTTATACAGGCTCTGAATACTACTTCCACTACTGATAATTAACACATTTCAACATAGGACACTGATTGGCTGAAAAACAAAGCCACAGTAGGTGAGGAGAACCTGATGGATTTTGGAAATTTTTGATTGATATGAGTCATTGATAACAGTGTGCTGATGTTAGTCTGAAACTGCTTTTAAGCTTGGAAGCCTTTTGATAAAGAAACAACTTTGCATTTATCACTTATTATTATCACTGTGTTTTTCTTGAAGTGACTTCATTTGATCATTAATTTAGAGCAAATGAGAATTCCTACCGCTGAGTTCCTCGCTGTTTTGAAACACAAAAATTGAACAATGTGTCATCAGTAAATAAAACTAAACTTCCTCTACTGTCATAACAACGCCACTGACTGACTGTGATTTGGAGCATGGTTGGACGCCATGTTCAAAGCACAGTGGTATGTCTTCCAGTCTGCACACCAGGCTGTACTGACCTTTCACGGCCAGGCAGGCTGTTGCTAATTGTTTACCACCACATCCTGTTTCCTCACTGTTTGCTTTATTGGAGAAAGTCACCTACATTTAGAATGATTTATCATGTTTTAAAAGCCTGGGGAAACTGGTAATACTGGCCTTAAATGTATCTGGGTGGATCTCTTTAAAATGTATTGTAAATGGTTATATATTACTTGCCTATCTGTTCTTACTGTTCTTTACTAGAGTAAATGTTACTTGACTGGTCTTATGGAATGATTGTCTTCTGTTTTTGTTGTTAGTTTATGATCTAATTACTGTACACAACACCTAGACGTCTGAACTGTGAAATGTTGTCAGGCGCAGGTGTTGAATCTATATTGATGCCTGATATTGAAACCAAATTGTAAGTGCTTGTTATGTATAATGTTGAATAAATGTCAAAGGTCAGCGTATATTCCTCAGATTTCAAACAAAATGAATTATTTGCTTACAAATCTGCCATTTAGAGTTTTTTTTCTTTTTCTTCAAACATCCTGTGACATAACAGGACAAATCATACTTTTCACTTGGTGTTCTACAGGTAACAAAAAGGGACTAACTTAAACAAAACCAAATATAATAACTTTAAAATTTAGCGTAATAGGTTATAGATTAGTTTAAAATGTTTTTTTTAAAGAATCCTGTCTCTTTAAGTTATAATAATAATTATTATTATTATGAAAGTATAATGGATGTATCCATTCAAGCACAACCACCAAAGACCTAGTAGTACAGCTAACTGCAGCTGCAAACATATCTGCTTCCACCACATTGCTCAGCATACAAGAGGCCACATTTAATTTTTTCTTACTTGGTGGTAATTTAAGCATAAGCCTGATATTTGCTGGCACGAATGAGAGCGCGCACCAGACTAGTCAGTGAGAAAAATGATCGCACCAATCCTTGTGGCACCCTCTTATCAGCTTAATCGCTGTTTAATCATCGTTTAATCAACGAACTCACAGTCTTCATTGCTTAATTAACTTTCCAAATAAATAAATAAACACATGTTTGACCCAGCTGGTCTGTGACGTCAGCCTACTACAACCAATCCGGGAGCGTCTGCAGACACCTTTTTTTGATAATCCTCTTTGCTAAGATGAGCTGTCCGATCAGCACCATACTATGCTGCTCTGTTGGTGCCAGGAATAGTCCCGGTAACACAAGCCACATTAACCGGGCTTACAGTGACCGAGTCTCCCTTGATCGGATTTTCCGCTCAGAATTTACTTGATTTTGCTGCTTAGGCATGTTGCTACTTTGTAGAAGTAGTTATATGTGATGTTTTTTGGGGTAGACTCGTTTTGGAGTACACTTTTACGCACTGAAGTTGAGAGTAGATTACGTTAGAGAGTGTTAAGGGTTTAGTGTTTGGGTTATCACTTTCCCCCTGGACCTTCCTTAATGGTGAACGCCGGCGCTATGTTTTCACTCTTCTACGGATTGTTGTGTTTTTGTGCGCTGGGCTGCAGTCAACTAGCGAGCGGCCAGGCGGACGATGGAAAGCGGTTCATCTGCCGGGCTATACCCCTCAGCGGCGATGCCAGTTGCCCTGTGACACTGTTACCCGAGCTAAACGCCGGGAGCCAGGAAGAGGAGCTCAGAAACACTGTCATGCAACTTCGAGAGACAATTTTACAGCAGAAGGAAAACATTTCCAAACAGCAAGGCACCATTAATGAGCTAACCACCAAGCTTTCCCTCTGCGCCTCAGCCACCGACGATAGAAAGTACGACAAGGGGGGTTCCTGGGGCAAAGAAAAGCAAAATACAATGGGAGATGTTCCCAGAGATCCAAATGACAGCATCGACAGCCTTGGAAAAACAATGCAGGGGCTCAAGGACCGGTTGGAAAACCTGGAGGTAAGTCGGCATTAATTGCGCAAAACCATACGTCCTGTGCCAAAGCCATGCGTAAAAGCACAGTTTGATTCTCGGTACAGATTTATGGGATTAACGTTACGACACATTGTTGACTCACTGCTCAGCAGTAGAATGGCATCGCTGAGAATCACTACAGTACTGTATCATGGAGATCAAACAGAGGAATCTCTAGGAAAGAGATTAATTGTGTCTAATTGGCCTTAAACTTCCCATTAGACAGGGCCGATTGTGTAACAACTTCTTGGGCGTGTCTGCTGACTAGTGCTTTAAAAAGCAATATCTTCCTCACAGTCTTAAAATGAGCAGTTGCAAAGTGTCATTATTTCTAGCCACAGATGAGAAGGCGCCTGCTGGAGTCTGTTTATTGCCACAGCTAATGTCACATACTTATGAAACTAAAATCATCAAAGAACCGGATGAGAAAACTGACCAAAACCTCACACAGTAGATGTCAACTTCCAAAAATGTTTTCCACCCCTGAAACTATATTTGCAGGCCTGTCACTCAGAAGAAGAATGATGAAGGGCAATATTAGCAGCTCTCAGGGGGCTCATTGTCCCTGATTATCTCTGTGCACTTCCTGCTCATGGTGTCCTGTCCATTCTTCCTTAGCAACACCAGATGCGGGCCAACGTCTCAGGCGCCTCGTTCCCCAGTGAGCTCCGCGACCTGCTGCAGCGTCGCCTCGGGGAGCTGGAGAAACAGCTCCTGAAGAAAGTCAGCAATCTGGAGGAGGAGAAGAGCATGCTGTCCAACGCTACAGCTGCCTACCGGCTGAAGACGGAGAGCACGCTCAACGCCCTGGTGGAGAGGATCAGTGAACTGGAGAAAGGTACTGCAACGCTGCATGTGCATCATCATAAATGTACAGATGAAGTCAAAATGAAATATTGTTTTGAAGGGTTGGGGGACACCCAGCACACAGTACACTGAGGAAAATGATACCTGGTGCCGCACAGAGGGAAAACACATATGAGGGCACATAAAGCAACCTAGTGAACATCTACTATACTAATGGAGAGGAGGCAGAGGAAGGCACTCAGGGGTATAAAAGAGTTGAGAGGGTCTGATGAATCAGAGATGGTGACAGACGTGCACACTTTTTACACAAAAAGGACCTTTGTTGAGCCTCTTTTAAGTCATGACTTCATATAAAACATAAATGGATGTGATGCTGTTTCCCTGCTTTCATCCCCCAGCAACATTTAACAAGTTTATGGGACACCTCTCACTTCCCTGTCCCTTTCTCTCCTCTCCTCTCTCTCTCTCTCTCCCTTTCTCATTACAGGAGGAGGAGACTTCAAGTCCCCAGAGCAGTTCAAGCTGTCCCTCCCCCAGCGGACCAACTACCTGTACGGCCGCATCACCAAGAGCCTGCCAGAGATGTATGCCTTCACACTCTGCATGTGGATCAAGTCCAGCGCCACTCCCGGCATAGGGACACCCTTCTCTTATGGTGTACCAGGGCAAGCGAATGAGATTGTGCTAATTGAATGGGGCAACAACCCAATAGAGCTGCTCATCAATGACAAGGTAAGTAGATTCTGGTGTCCTAAATCTGCTAAACCTTTATGGTTTTATGATAAAATTATAAAATGAAAGTACCAAAATGTTCCCTACCCTCATGTCAGTCAACTAAAATCTCTCTTTTGATTCAACAACCATACTAGACATGTGCTTTTGTAAAGGCAAACCACAGCTGAGCGCACTGTATTTTAACCACAGGTTGCCCAGTTGCCTTTGGAGGTACGCGATGGAAGGTGGCACCACATCTGCATCTCCTGGACAACACGGGACGGCCAGTGGGACGCTTACCAAGATGGTGCGAAACTGGGGACTGGTGACAACCTGGCAGCGTGGCACCCCATCAAACCTGGGGGTGTCATAATCCTGGGGCAGGAGCAGGTAAGGAGGTGCAGCAGGACCCCAAAATCTTGGACAAAATGAATGATCAGACTCCTTTGTGTTTGACATTTGCCTGTGTCTATAGCGTTAGTCATCATTCTAGCTCTTTTGTCATGTTCAAAGAAAGCAGCCACTTACCTGAAATGACATCTTCAATTACTTTTCTTCTATATAAAGTGAGATTTTTTTTTAGACAGTGAAGAAAACTAACAATGTACCATCAACTGTGTAGTGCAGCATGTTCGCATTATCACAAGCCAAACACTTCAAGTGCAATGTCAAGTAGTTCTACTAATAAACAGCGTTATTTATGGAGCATCTTTGCAAACTGCGGATAGAAACAGGAAAATCAACCAGGCCTGAAGCAGCAGTAATAAGATGGTGGCAGGTTATCATGACAAAACAATTAACAAGACAGCAGTGAACCTGTCACTGCCCACAGATGCTGAGGTCTCCCTCTGGACCAATCGGTGCATTATTAAAAATGTCTGAGGAGGAATGAGATGCATCAGTCTGTTAAGTTCTGTGTGAAATTAAATCAACAGTACTTGAAGACTGTTTGGCATCTAGTTACATAACTGACAACAGTGTGAAAGCAACATACAGAAAATTCAAATTCAATTTAATGTTTGGGTTTTTTTTACATCAATTGGAAATGTTGTATTCCCATCCGTGTTCCCCAGAGCAGTTAATCCCAACCAGGGGTACTACCCCATGGGGGTACTGCTGCTGATGGCAGGGAGTATGTGGAGAGATTGTAGAGTAGATCAATTTAATGATTTGATAAAAAAAAAAATACATCCACTTATGAATCAGTTACAACAATAAATGTAGGTGTTACCGCAATTAAGAGTGTGTGAAAACTAGTTAGCAACAAGCAGAGGAGATTAAATTGTCATCTGAAAGTAAGGGATAAATATTTCAAATAATTAGATAAAAGTCATGGATAAATGGTTGGAACATCCAGCTTTTGCCACTCCATGAGGTCATGGTATGAATTCAAAGTTGACCAAAACTAACTTTTTTTCAGTGCCACAATGAGGTTGTTAGATATCTCTATCACTATTGGATGGATTGCCATGAAATTTGGTCCAGACCCTTTGCTGACCCCCCTGACTTTTTCTGTAGGTCCAACATAAGGTTGTAATTGTAATTTGTCCCACATGTTGGGTTATGACCAAATACCCAAAAACCAATGACATTCCCGTCAGACTCTACTTACCAAAAGTTAGCATGCTAATATGCTAAGCTAAGATGGTGAACATGGTTAACATATTAGACACCAGCATGTCCTTGTGCGCATAGTAGCATGATGATGTTAGCATTTAGCTCACCCACTGTACCTGTAAGTACAGCCTTACAGAGCTGCCAGCTTGGCTGTGTTAGCACAGTAAATAGGTGAAATAGGGAGATGATGATCGGATGACGTTATAAGGGTCACTTGAAAGTCCAACTGTACATAATACACACTGCATACTGCATCCTACATACTGAGATGTATGTATTGCATTGCTGGTATGCATTGATAGTGTGTGTACTGTAGAATTCGATACTGACATTCGGTTAATTGAACTTTAGTCTTCTTAAACAGAATTTAGAAAATAGTGAAATACGTTTTAATTCCACAAACTTAATCAAAATCCAACCAGTGGCATCTTATACACAAATGTGGTGCCATCAACATTTACAGCATTGAATAGAACAGGGAATAAAACACATTAAACCTGAAAGTTTAATGACTAGTCCCACAGACTGCTTCCTAGACAATTACTCAAATATTGTTGTTGTTGTTGATGCTGTTTAAATTTACATCCCAATGTTTATGGCCCTTACAGGACGTGGTGGGCGGGCGCTTTGATGCCGGACAGGCATTCGTGGGCGAGCTGAGTCAAGTGAACATTTGGGACCGCATTCTGAAGCCAGCCGAGGTCCAGGCTATGGCTAACTGCAGTTCTTATATCCCCGGGAATGTGATCTCCTGGCTAGCAAGCAACGTTGAAGTGTTTGGCAGGGGAGCATTCAAGCGGCCCTTGGAGGTGTGTCAGGAGCGACTGCCCAATGCTTAAAACTCATCTGTCTCACCTCTTTAGATTAGCCGGTGTTTCCATCCTTTCAGCATTTTTTTATTGTCTGCTTTTTCTGTAAGGCAGTTTATAGACTTAATGTTATACATTGATGTGTAACAACTTTATTTTATCTGCTTTGCACAGAGAGATATTTGAGATTTGACACGCAGGTGAGAAATGAAATGGGTGCACTGACATGACACAAAACTTTTTGACAAATAGATCTGTAGCACTGAATGTGGGACCACACCAAAGTTCAAGTTATTATGTGGAGGCTGAACGCCATCATCGACTGGTGGCAATCAGAGAGCTATGTGTTCTTTCTTTACCATGATTAAGGTACTTCAATGCTTCAATACATCCACCTCCATGGTAAAAGGTCCCCTCAGGTATCGGTGCTAAGACATAATATACTCCCCCACAGCCGCCCACACACCCCTCCCTCCACACTCACAAGCTTTGAAGTAATGAAAATCCAGTCTAGTCCGGCACAGACGCACGCATGTACCGCTACTACTACAAATACACTGACCGACAGACTAGCTGACAGTTTGCCATTGACATGTGAGTTGGTGTTGCGTGCTGTGTAGGAGCGGGCAGTAGAAAAAAGATTAAAGGTCTGGCTAATGTTGTGTCTATTCCTTAACTAAGGAATGGGCTTAGAGCCAACATCAATCAAACGTCTGATCCTGACATGTTCACTCATTTTTAAGGGGAGTACAACAGGAGAAGTACAATTTGGCACTTTATCTATCATGTGCCTACTGGCTGGTAGTTGGAGCATGTGTGCAACAGACTTTGTTTCTCTTGTGGAAATACTACTTACGTATGAATTAGCAAAAACTTCACCTTGTCGGTAAAAGCTTTATTCTTGGCATGCGTAACTGATACCAGTGATACTAGTGAGCTTATCACAGTGCTTTTTTTCCTTGCCTTTTCCATCTTAACAAAAACCTGTCTAAATGGTGAATCATGTTGAAAAATATATTCATAGCATCAATGTTGTGAAATATTTTTACTTGTGATTTGTAACATTCATATGTGTAGTTTACTTTTCCATTATTTAGTGTCTGTGCAGAGAGTTTTGGGATTTTTTTTATGTAATCTCTGTTTTTAGCACCTAAACAGTCATTTTCCATATCGTCTTGTGGCCTTCATATGGAGACTCAAGTGCCATTAAATGTTTTCTAAGTGTTGGAAATTGTTTTCTTTGCCAATAAATGAAAATGTGGAAAATAAATAATAATTACTGCTGCAAAATTAATTTCCAAATGTTTGTGTTTTATCTGTCAGCAATTACATCCAAAAGTGTATCAGGGTTGTGTGAGATAAGTCAGTGAGTCTTGCAGTCTTGCAGTCTTGCAGGATATGGAAGATGGACAACGGTTTAAAAACACCTTGTTTCTTTAGCGGTGTCTGTCAAGCTGGTAAGGTGACACAGGAGTGACATGAGCAGTTAATTACACAGCCTGAGCAGGATCTTTAGACTCAGATGGCTTGGGTCAAGACAACAACAGGTGTCCTGAGTGGCATTAGCAACGCTTAACAGATGAGAGAGGCTGAAAGGTCATGGGTGGCGTCACAGACACCCTGCTCCTCCTGACCACACACTGCTCTGACAAATATCTCAGATAGGACTAAAATTACATGTTTTTTTAAAGTCCATAAGTATAAGCTTCAGTACAATCTAGATCGATGAAATCCTAAAGTTTACGAGCTTTTCAAATGCAGACAAGCTATTAAACCTAAGCAAAACTAAATAATCAATTAAATAAAAAGTGCAAAGAAGGTTTCTATATGACTGTACTCTTTTGTATTTGAAATAATATAAGATAAAGACATGGTGACACTTGGCCAATATTTCAAAAACCATACTGTATGGGTTTCTGGATGGGAATTGGGTTTTGTTGATGCAGCCTTCACACTATGATCTTCAGTGAAGTTGTCTGATTAATTTGTGTAATCCACACAGGCTGTTTTTCATGCAGCCTTGTCTGTGCACAGAATTTATGCCGCTTGAATGTTCATGTCCGTGTAAGGCACTTCTTTGTTCCTTTCTTCACAACATGTCATTTTCCAGTGACACAGGATGCTCTGTATGTTATGGCCTTTTATCTGGGCTGAAAGAAGAAAAAGCAATAACATAAAAGTCTCCCTCTGGCTATTCAGAGCAGAATTCAATCAATAATGGTCATGGAAATGGAAAAGAAGATGTTGAAGGCCAGTCTCAATCTGTTCATACTTTATTAGCCTGTGTTTTATGTCTGATTTTGCAAGGTAGATATAAATGGATAAAAACAAGGTTGGTTGGTAAATGGTTGATGATCAAAAAAAGGATCAAAATGATACAGGAAACACAAAGAAGAGGTGTAATGAAGACTCATTCTTGCAAGCAAATTACCTTGAATATAAAACAGCGTACATACGCAAAAACATACAATACAATCAGTATTTACACCAGTCAGCTTAATTTTCTTTCTTTTCTTTTCTTTTCTTTTCTTTTCTTTTCTTTTCTTTTCTTTTCTTTTCTTTTCTTTTTGAAAAAGTGGTAAATGGGTGGTTCTAGGAGTGGCAATATCGGTTTACCACTTTGGTCCACAAAGAAGAGGGATGATGATGCAAAGACTCAAATTACCTTTAACCTGAAACAGCACACAAACACAAAAAACCAACAGTGATGCCCAGTCACCTTCGATAGAGTCCGCCATGTTGAACCACCATGTTTCTACAGTAGCCCAGAAGGGACAAACAAAATGCTGGCACTAGCAAGGAGCATTCAGGTTTTTTTGTGCATTTGTGGCCACAGTAGGTTTTCCTTTGTGCTTGGAAGGGGAGGGTGCGTAATGTGAAAAGGATTGCTCAGCGATTAACCTTTATCAACCAACTCTGCAGTTTCTCCCAGCTCTACTGGGAATTTTAACATCTTATAGCTCATTGTTTAAAGCTAGAAATAAACAAGTCACTGAATGCTTATGCCTACAATCTTTGAGTTGTACTGGGGGGAGCTGGGATAACTGTTTCTATAAGGGGTTATTTAAGATGGTGCTGCTATATATCTACTAGTGATTGGATATGTAGCATTTATTTTTGGGCTCATTCAGAACCCCAACCCCAAAATTTCTCTCATGAGACAGCTTCAGCGGATATGAATGAATGTAACACAGGTTTGCATGATTCTCCTAAACACTGTGGACAGCAGCAGACTTTAAGCACAGCATTGTTTTGGCTCAAGGTCGATCCTCTGATGTAACTAATAACACCTGCAGCTCCCCGCAGTGTCTCTGACAGCTGGCATTTATCAGGAGACTCACAATTAATAATGTTGTGACATCTCTAACAGAGGACAAGCTGTCATTAAACACCATCAAGGTACTAAACGGCTTAAAAATAATCTGACTGACGGCAGCGCAGTTGGAAAAGATTCAAGGATTTTGTTTCTTGTGAGATAATAGTATACAAAACCTTGTTTTTGGGTTAACTTTTATTCAACCACTCTGAGGCTTTCTTAGCTGATAATTAGCACCTTTTAGTTTGTGCCAAATAAAGATTCTTACTGAGTTTCTCATATAATGCAACACATTTTGTCTCAAGATAACTCGTAGTAACTTTGGGAATCCCTTAGCTTTTTATCAACTCCATCATCAGGTAAACATTTTAATTTGTCAAATACTTTGGTTTAGAACCAAGTATTCTCAAAACAAATGGCATTCCCATCAGCCTCAGCTGTACTTTGTGTTTACACTTGACAGGCAAAGTGGAATAAAAGGTTATAAAAAAGAAAACTAGGTTTTATTCTTTTTCTGCAAAGCAAAGCAAAGCAAAGCAAAGCACACATTTATACACCAATATGAAAATAAATCAGTTCACAGCACAGTTCATTGTTTAAACATGACATGCACTAGTGCTATTAATTTATTATGAGTTCATCTGAATGTCAGCCTAAGCTCTGTGACTCATTAATTCATTACCATTACGTAGCCTACTTACAAAAGTACAAACCCTAACCATAACCCATTTCACCTACTAGCTTACAAACATTTACATGACTAAATGCAGCTTAACCCTAAATACAAACAGGCACTGCTTATGCAAATAGATGTATTAAAAATGTCACATCAGGCTATGTGTTGTGCTATGATCATTCACAGATGTAGCTATATAACCATCTACATCATGGTAATATGCAAGATGAGAATTGTGTATCTTCTGTAACACCATAATTGTGTACATGTACATGTAGCTACAGTGCGCTGGAACGCAGATGGTTAAGAGGAGTATTGGCTCCCATACTGTAAGAGGAGTGGCTCTTTCTCTCCCCTCTCCACTTTGGAGAAGTTGAAAAGAATCGAGCTCTGATAATCAGAGTCTTGGTTCTTCAGGAATACAGCGTTACTGGAAGCAGCAATCTGCAAAAATCACACGTCCAGACAGATGTCAGCGACATAGCTTTGTTTCAAAGTTGCTTTTAGATTAAACAGATTAAACAGTTCCACAAACTACGAGGAATGACAGCCACTCCAACTTAAGTTGACATTTCTGTGCACAATTTGTTGCCCAGATATAATTTCTTTCTGGGCACAGACAGCCTCCTTGTGGTTATAAACTACATCCAAGTTCAACCACTGATGCTCTTTATGAGGGTTTTGATTCTATTCATCGGAGCTAATGAATTCAAACATACATCAGTGATTATTCACGACTAAACATAACTTTTACCATCACTTTCTTTCTCTGTTTTTCCACATAACATGCATTGAACCCAGTTTGATACTATATTATCATAATACATTTATTTCATGTCCTTCATTCCACTCTTAGTCACCACTTCATATATTCACTCACATCAGTAACAGAAGAGTTGTATTGAAATGTAAAATAATATGTATCATTAGCAAAAGAAAGTTGTAGGCCTAGTGTACATACAGTATGATACAAGTTGTCATTAAGAGATGCTGCAACCAAGTCAGTTCTGTACCTGTGATTTGTTGTGATGAAGAGGCCGGCAGGCGATGACTGTGATGAAGGAGAAGGTTGCTACAAGAACGGCAGCACATGACAGGATGAAGAACATGTGGGTGTTATCTGCAATTAGCAGAAAAGAAACATGTTACTTGTGAGTGTAATCCTTTTAAAATCAAAGTCACAGAAACACATTTGATTTGAGTTGAAGTAACTCAAGTATTTGTTAAGGTAACTTGAGTAAATTAAGTTAATTGTGCTGATTCCATTGAAGTTACACTTATATGCATCATTTCTCCAAATGTATTTAAAATTAGTTAACAGAATTGATCTGAATAAAGTTACTTAAATGCATTTTCTTTGTACAAACGTTATCACCAAGTTGAATTTAATCAGTTTTCTTCTGAGTTCTTCTTCTTCTTCAGTTTTCAAATTATTACATTACCTGTCAAAACAGCTGACATACAATAAAAACAATTTATTATGAATTGATTATAAAAAGGGTAGCCATTTAATTTTCTATGGGACAAACATCAAATCTTTATAGTTTGGGTGATCATTACAAATTAATTGGAGGATTCATTTATGTTAACTTACTTATTTTATGAAGATGTGTTGTCAGGTTTTACAGTGTAGAATTAGCTGTTTTTGTCGGGTCCTCTTCTACGAAGGCCACCATATTGAACCCCCATTTTTCTACAGTAGCCCTGAGTGGACAAACTAAACACTGGCTCTACAGCAGATAGGGCCTTTCGTATTTTTCACTGCCAGCAAAGTGTTTCTCCTACATGCTTGGAAGGAGAGCATAGATACCATTTAATCCTACACACTATTCCATTAAAGTGTAATGTTAAAGTCATTTAACATCTGGGTAACATAAAGAAAGAAACTTTCTCTGATCCAGCAGCTGCTCCACCTATAAGCCACACAGTAGAAGCTCTGTTGAGACAGTAACTAGTACTGAAGCAGTCCATGGGAGGTGAAAGCCCATGAACGTATTAGCCACCCTTGCCATTTTTACTGTGAAATCAATTGAACATAGCAGTCATGTGTTGAGCAGTCGGATCACTCTGTGCTTGGATTCCTCCATTTCCACTGTTCCCTCTCTGTCTGTGGAACTAACGCAGCTAAGTGCAGCATGCTACGTTTTATCTGAAACACCTCATGACAGATTCTCTTAGTTTCAAGAATATTTTTGATATGATGAAAACTAGAAAGTTACAAAATAATAAGCTGTATGCATGCACTAAATGAAATAGATGGATCATCATGAAAAGTCACTGGTTATTATAAATTTTGATGCATTCAGAAGGCTACACTCTGAAATATATGGAGGACAAAGAGAGCCTTGCAATTGGTCATGTTGTTAATTGATAAAAAAAAATAGTTAGACAGCCAAAGAGTTAACACATTTATAATTATATATAATAATATATATAAATACAAAAACTAATAATTTATTAAGGGTTCATTGGATAATAACAAAATTGTTTTGACAAGATTTTACAAATAAAATGATCCTCATCACCAACAGACTGCCCAATCGAAAAGGGATTCCCAGGTTGTCAAATACCTCAAGGTTTTCTAGGTACTCCATATGGGCTGCTACTAATTGTAAAAAAAAGCATTGCATTGCATTCATGTTAAATTCTTAATACAGTTGTCCACACTGAGAACAACTTCCAGTGTGTAGACCTCTCCCATGTCATGCGCAATGACAGCTTGTTCTTTTTCACATGCTTCATATGTAGATGAGGAGTTGAAAGGGAGTTTCAGGTCTTTAAACCTCTTAATCCTCTCAGGGGTCATTCACAGCATGATGTCACATGAGAGTGTTTGAGGGATTTTATAAGGTCACATTGCACAATGAAATCAAACCATAAATAAGCGTAAAACAGCCTAAGATAGGGGGGGTCACTACCTGAAAACCAAAATTTTGCACCCTATTTAGAAGACACTAAAGATAAGGTGACTTGAATGTCCCTTCTCCAGGTGATGTCCATTTCCCCCTCCCCCTGAAACTAGGCCTTTAGGCTGTCCTACAGCAGTGCTGTGAGCAGCAGACAGGCCAATAAATTTCCAGTTTGACATTTTGGCCTGTTTCGTTTTTACATCAACCCATCAATCCTCATTTTG